CCTCGTCGCATAAAGCGCCATGATCTACGGTACAGCGGGAGCGAGCTTCATCGTCTTGGCTGGATGATATGGGGAACTAACTCACCTTTATACCTTTACCCCTCTCCTCTTCTTATCCTTAACTCTATTCTTTTTTTCTCTCCTCCTGTTTGCCCAGCCGGGAATTCCCAGCGAAGTAGCTACTTCCTAAAATAAGTTCCAGGCTGCTGTGTGCATCTCACGTCTCGCCCAGTAACTCAGAGGCTTCGGATCCACGAGTCGATCCTCTCGGGGTTCACACCTCACAGAGAGGGTGGATAAACAACGGTAAGTGTACAGTACCAGGTGGAAAAGTCCCCAACTACTATAAATACAGAGCCGTACAAGACCCAGTTGTCACTTTCAGGATCTGTGAAGACAAAGAATCATCAGACCTCAGGAAGTTACATCCTGTTAACCGAGTCACTTGTAATATTTTGAATTGTCAACTCCGTCGACCACATCCGTATTTAATGTCACCAACACACAACATGGAAGGTTAGAGGAGTATGATACGTGAGCGTGTGTCATCCTCTCTTCCCGCCAGCTGTGCTCTTAACACACATCTTTAAGAAAGCCACAACAACACTGTCACAATGGCTCTTGAAACCCATTGGCTGAGTCCATGCGATACGATTAACTCAAGAAATAGAAAGTGAATAAGCTGTCAAGTTTAAGATGTAAGGTAAGCGGGAGACTAAGGCGTTGGAGTGGGCGAACAAGACACTGGCGGTGGGAGGCTGGAAGGTCAAGTTGATGTCCGTGAGGTGCTGGAGGGAAGTATCCTGACGAACCCTCTCTTCCCTCCACACCTACTGCCTCGACTGCCTCCCCAAGTGTTCAGGCTCCCTGCTCTATCTCAAGCTGCTCAGTCCTTCATACACATACGAATTACTCTAGATTTGGTAATAAAACAGTATGTAATGGCGTACGGTTGTCTTACACGGCAGTAAACTTGCAAAGGCATGTAGGCAGACCAGCAGTCTTGGGTACTAAGCGGCGCCATGTCTGAGTCGACTCCTGCCCTAACAGTGTCTCGCCGTCGCCGGTCACCTTTTCCCAGGGTATTTCTGTCGTTCATCCGTCAGATTAGCCTATCATCCACACCTGTTAGCTGGGGAAGGTCATGGGGTACACTAGGAGACTTCCCCCCCCCCCAGGTGTTCCTTTCGCGTCACTCTCAGACTTCAATGCACTGTACTAGTGTAGTGAACATAAATCACCAAATAATATGTACCGTAATCAATAGACTGTTCAGAATAAAAAACAAACAAAAAAACAGTCTTATGGAGAAATAAAAAAAAGTAGGAGAGAGATGGAAGAATTAATGTAATTATCCTGAAGACAAGATGATAAAGTATACTGCCCATCACAACGCTGGTCATTTGGTTTCTTGTGATGGTTGGACACTGAATGTAAATTATTGCCTCTAATGGATCGATTTACAACATATGAATTCCTTACAACAAAATTACCCTTAACCATAACACCATCCTCTATTAGCCTCTTCTGATTTATTAAAACATTCAAAAAGTTAATTACATACGACAGAACAGGTAAAACAGGTAGATACACACCCATATATCCGCCAGGTAATGCTTCCCTCAACACCACATATATGGTAGTCATAATTTACGGTCGGGAAAAAGCACCAGTAAAGTTTTTGTTTTTTTTATGGCGTGGCACCAATGACGCCCATTACTGGCGCCACTGACCGTGACCACTAAAAAAGGTGGGCAGGGCAGCAAGGCCGGTCCCTCAATACCAGTTTTTATGTGTGGACGAGGCAGCCAGCACAGTGCCTTATGGGACTCTCACAGTGTCAGACATTAAAGGCAAGAAGAACAATGGGATATAGAGAAACATAAGATTAAGGCAATAGCTGAGACACACTGTTAGGAAAAAAATGAAATTGAGACAAATAATGAAGTAGAAATAAAGACACAGATGAATGAGAGAGAGAGAGAGAGAGAGAGAGAGAGCACAGACGTTAGAGAAAATATTACACCAGCCAAAAAAAAAAAAAATATATATATAAAAACGATTCAATATGAAAAAAAAATTCCAGAGACGAAACTTTCAACCATAAAAACTGAGAATGAATCAAGATTTTCGGATCATTTAAAAATAAATCGCTGGCAAGAGGAAGGAAGAGGAAGAGGGAGAGAGAGAGAGAGAGAGAGATGGACATAACTAGCAGCACACGAGGACCCACCCACCTCACACTCCTGAAGAAGTCGACCAATTAAAAATCATCCACATATCTCTCAGACAAATATATTAATATGTAATCTCAGTATATATGTAAACTGCAAAATTTTATATAAAATATAAAAAATAATACAGCCATGACGTTTTATTCTTAAGGATGCGCACTGATCACAGTTGTTAGTACAGTGAAATACATTGATGATGTCGAACGCTCAATGGAATGTGTTGAGTACATGCCTTAAATATTATCATTACTCTCTCAAGTTTCTCTTACAAGTACAACAACTGACATTTGTGCGGGACTTTTAACATACACATAAACTGCTCGGCATTTCAGGAATTACAGGATGTTTCAGGCTGTTTTTTTCTATAAATACCCAGATAAGGCACAAAACTTCAGCGGCATCAGATGTCAGCCAACCAGTTCCGCGGACACATGAAGACAAACTGTGACTCAATACTTTAATTAAATTCAAATACCTTGAGAATCATCATTATTACTTCGAATATGAATCGACATAGACTATCAACATTTGAATACTTCGGGTAATGATAGAAATTATTAACTCTTATATAAAACAAGTTTGACACCCGCGGGATCTGAGCAGGCTTTCTGAGTAAAACTTTTGAAGGACTGCTGAGCGAGGTACGAGATGCCTAGCCAGTATACAGGTCTCATTAGTAGCGTGTGTCAGCCTCAGTAATGGCAGGTCTCAGGTGTTGGTGTGACGGGCGTAACTGTCAGCTTCTCGATCTAACTAATTTTCTCATGAATTGCAAAGCGACCGCGAGTGGTGGTGGGCTGGGCGTTGGCCTCCCGACTGGGCGGGGAGGGGGTCCGGGGGATATGTATAGCTTAGTCACACATAGCGGGGCGTCAAGAATCATTCATCTAAACACTCGACTGTTGTTGTTTTTTTTCTCAGTTGTGTTGGGGAAGATATTATTAAGAATTATTACTCTAAACAACAGACCAGTTTTCCCTCCCGCTAACTGGGGAAAAGATGGTGCGAGAAGTTTGAATCGAAACAAATGTTTTCTCAAATGAATTAGGAAACACGGTGACGGGAAGAATTAATGAGTTATTGACTTTTTATCTTACGGATACTGGAGGAGGATGAGCAGATGCTGTCATATACAGTAGTAGCTTCTGAGGACTGAGTGCCACGTGTCAAGTCCGTGGAAGTATATTGATGACCTCGCTACAACATGTCTTAATTCCATGACATTTGGTAGATCTCTCTCTCTCTTAAACATACCGACACGACCAGGTAAGGATTTGCAGGCTACCCGTTCCTTACTTCCGCCGATTGTGAAGGTCACCCCCACTAACACTGGTCTGATAATGGGGAGGGGAGGGGATGGTGTGAAGGGGGGAGGCAGGGGAGATGGGGAGGGAGGAACAGTTCGGGGAAAGGGGTGTCTCTATTATCTTATCTTCAGGTGTGTGTGGGAGACTCAGGAGTTGAATTGTAACCACCATTATTCCTCAAGGTATGGCGTCAAGGTGTACCAAGTGTCACACCTAGGCACTAATACCCGACTTTTCTCGTAATAACACCCACACTGTTAAATTTGTACTCGTCTAACACTCTCTACAGTTCCCTAACTTCATTACATACATAAAACATTTCTATACGAGACATCACAGTTTGTCCACTTTTCCATGACACGAAAGCAGTTTGATATTGGATATATATTAATCAGTAAACGTCATACAATTTCATTTTAGGTTTAGTTAGGTTAGGTTAGGTTAGGCTATTTTAGGCTAAGCTATTTTAGGTTAGGCTACGCCAGGTTGGGTTAGATTAGGTTAGGTTAGGTCAGCACTTTTCATTAACAGGAACAAATTGTATCTTAACACTGATATCTTCTGACCCACAACTCTGTTTTTGTCGTCAGCCAACTCTATAAATACCAAAGCTGACTGACTGACTTTTTTTGTCGTTAGCGAGATTTATGAATACCAAAACCTTAGTGAGTGAGTGAATGACGATGAGTGAGAGCCTATCTTCATTTCTCCTCCCCAGCTTTACCCTGTCCTCCCCATTTCCCCCTTCTTATGTCCCCTATCTTTCCCAGTTCTCCCATCCCCATTTTCCCCAGTTCTCTCCTCCGTGTCCCTACCTTCCTCAGTCCCCCCCGCCTCCCGTGACCTTGAAATCTGAACATGCCGGTCTTGGGAAGCTACTCACCCGCGACCTTTAACGCAACCGGTCTAATCCCTGCCTCACTGTACCTCCCTCCTCGCCCTCCACCCTGCTTATTTTCCTCGACCTCTCTCCCTCCTCACCCTATCCCCCCTCATCATCCTCTTTCCCTCTTCTCACGCTGCATCTTGCAATGTTTAATTTTCTTATAGTTTAAATATGTAAATATTCAGTGCATACTTTGCCCCCACCCCCGATTTTTTTTTACATTACATAGTTCATTATTTTGAACAAAGAATTGATAAGAATACCAACATCATATTAATTTGCTCCCATAGTCGAGAGCAAGACCGCCCAAAACAATTAAGAAATATTATGAACGTGTGTTTCAGTTGATATCATGAAGACCACGAAATCTTTCAGTCTATGATATATCGATATTGTGATCATATTAACAATAATGGAGTTTTTTAGGAATATGTAAACTTCACCCTATTATCTCAGGGAAGTAACTTGAAGGTAATTAAAGTACACCGCCTGACGAACATACTGATTTATATAACAGAAGTATAGAGTACTTCGTATTTAGCGGGTGTGAGTTAGTTATGGACTCGCCCTGAAGGTGGCAGCAGCGACGACACCAACAAGCCAGGTGTCAGCTGTTGGACTAGAGGGTGTGTGACGCATCAAGTTAGCTCCAGATTTTTACTCATTTATACACAATGTCATCTGCCGAGGAAATCGAAGCGAAGGCTGGACACCCTCCTGCAAGTAAGTGTGAAATATCAAGAAATAAAGAATGTTTATTCGTGGATTATGAATGACTAATCCAAGTCTTTTGTGTGAGCGTTTCTCATCGAAAAGTATCCGGTCGTTTTGGACGATCATTACATGTTTCTTCCCAGCCATTTCAATAAGAAGATACAGACTCCTCTCTTGTACAAACAGTACTTATCTTTAATGTTTAAACTCGTTGTTTCTTGCATATAAACACATGAAAATACCAAGAAAAAGGTTATAATTGAGAAAAGTAATGGTAATTTGCAACTACTTTTGAGACCACACGAGGTGTGGCAGAAGTTGGTCTTAGGATTTCACATGACCACAAAAGGTTAAAATAGTTTATACTGTAGTTAATATACCCACCACACCTACTTAACATCTGAAGTTTGGTATTGGGAAGTTATGAGATCACACTTTGTACTCCATGGAGTATTGTAGCATACATTAAAACAAAAGAATTTCAGTAACAAAAAAAACTGAGTTCATACGTTTCTACCAGAAGGTAATGCATCATAACCAGTATTGTACAATATTCCAGCAGTCTTAACCCTTTAAAATGCAACTGTGAAATACTGTACTATAATTGGGTAATCTATGTACTACTATATTCTCAAGAAATTAGTTTTTCAATTCTTAAGAAATGTTAAATTTTTTTATGAAATTATAAACAAGTAGCTATGCAATATAACAATGTGGAGAACAAACTTTACTTACCATACAATTCGTCCGGTGGATGTTTTTCTTTATATGTAGTTCCATTTTATTAACATGCAATATTGGTCAGGGAACCACGTCCCTCCCTCCTATGATCCCCTGAACTGCAAGAAGTTGAAGGTGTGTTCTCTCTGCCCGATAAAGGCCTATTTGAGGATGCTGCTCACATGCCCACTCTCTTAGACCTAAAACAAAGCATAGGAACACCATACACATGTAAATATCTTGGTGGAAAACAAGTCTGTTGACATTGGCAATAGTTGCCTACATCAATGGATGTTGGCAGCAGTTTTAAGTGTTAAATAATTAAAAGTGTTCTCAGCTTTGAAACCAATGGAAGTAAATGGTTAAAAGTAAAGAAAGAAGAGTACAAATGCCATAAAATAAAAACTTGTCTGTAAACACATTTTGTAAAACACTGAACAGTATACTGTGAAATATTTGTTTCTTTCAGTTGAAGCTCACATGTTTATTGACGGGAAGCCATTTTCTTGGGCTAAATGTCATAACATAGGCTGTAACTAGTACTCATTCCTGCTAAAATAAGACATCACTACCATAGTTCAGTGATGGTTTTACTGAAGCAGAAGAGGCAACAGTCGTCTCAGATGAGTACTTATGTTTACAGCTGTGTTGTAAACAATTTAGTGTGTATTCCATATGTGATCACGTTTTTTTTTTTCAAAATCACTCCTGCATAGTTAAGTCTGTTTGAATAAATGGATTATATAAATTAATGCAATTTTAGAAATCAAAGGGAGGCAAGGATCACCTACTCTTAACAGAATTGTTTATCTTAAAACAAGTTTTTTTCTAGTTAATTTTCAAATTAATATGACACTACACTCTTATTTATTCAACATGCAAGAGCCTTGCAGAAATACTGAATTTGCCAAATTATCCCAGATTTGTTAATTTTTTCACCTATATTGGCTAGTTGCCTAAATGTTTCACATCTTCCAGTATTTTCCTCCAGGCTTCATTACAGGTTTCCCACTGCCTTTCTTACCACCAGAAGGCTCTTTGGGGTCTTCTGAAGCCATATTAGTAACAAAAGGTGAAAGCGTATACCGTACAGTATATGAATTTACCGAGGGTATGCATTCACGGGAGTGGAAATTTTTATCCTAGATATGCCCAGGCAGCCTGATCCAACATGTTTTAGTAGATTTGCACAAATTCAGCAAAGATTTGGCAGTGCCATATCCTACTGAAATAGCACAAATTCTGAGTTAATGTATGTCAAATTAACCAAAAGGAAATATACTGCAACAGTTGCAGTCAATATAACATTAACCTAATGTTAACACTGTGTGGTGGGTGCATAATGTGAAATGGACTTTTGACAAATTAAATGCTGTACATTTAATACATTTTATACTTTGTTATTGCAATATTAGGCAAAAAAAGAGTGATTACTGTACTGTGCAAAAACATTTAAGTTATGGTATCACTATACAGTATTCATATTATTTTAGGGATATTTTATTGTTTACAAATAAAGTAATGGCAAGTATCAATAAATAGTTTAGGACGAGTAGAATTTGTTCCGTTTAATTTTAAAATTGTGCTTGTACAGTGAAAGTTGGTGGGGTGCGCATCCCCCAACGGCGAAGGAGTGCAGAGGAGAAGGAGGGAACCCCACCAAAGCCAAGGAAGGACAGTGAAGATGGAGAAGAGGATGAGACATTGGTGGCCAAGAGGTGTGTATGGTTCTTGGTAGTAATTAGAAGCCCAGCTTATTAAATAACTACTTAAAGTTGACAGGAATCTCACGCTGTACCACAATTTTTGGGATATACCGTACAGTATTGAGAGATATGGATATATTTGTGTGTTTAGTTTTTAGGGATAGACGTTAAAATCTATGAAGCTATTTTGGTAGAAGGGGAATGCTGTTTAGGCAGCCACGGGTACAAAGAACGAATGACAGTGAATCCGGGAGAGAAAGTTTTGCTCTTGATTCTGGCGAGAGAGAGAAATTTATGTCATAATTTTTGTAGTTAGATGAGCTACTTCACTTTTTATTAATTACCACTTTTTCCCCCCCGTATGAATAAAGTTAATAAATTTATGTTTTGTTACAGTCCTCCGAGGGCTCCGGTTGTTGTATCTGGTGTAGTTGGTAAAGTGGAAAGAGACTTTCCCACAGCTGCAGTGAAGCACACCCACGAAAAGCCCGTGCCCACCCATGATGAACGTGCAGGCTATAACACCAAGCCGCCTTTCATCCAGCAGCCCAGGAAGTAGACTAGTGAAATAATCATTGAACATGTGTGCCCATGCTATTTAGGAGATTTAAAGCTATCTCCTAGTTGAATATGGTCAGAAGATTATAGCTATGTTGGGGTTAAGTTTTGTAGGTAATAAGGACTGAAATATTTGAGTGGTGATGGAAGATATGCAGTACAGATATTAAGGAAAGGAACTTGGAAAGGGTAATGCGTATTTAGCGTTCTTGAATGATTTACGTGTTCCCTGAAACAACTGTAGATCCACCCTTCATAACCTTACTACTCGCTCAAATATTCAGGGTAAGAATCGCCATGTGCTTAGAAGGTATTGTTGGGGGAATAGTGATTTAATGAATATGATTTGTTATAGCTTACATCACGTATTATCTTCATGAAGGACTAACCAGCCTGGCATCTCAGGAGTGGCAGTTGGGGTGTGGCAGTGGCAGTTGGGGTGTCGTACTTAATATTGCAGTAAATAATGTGACTTTCAAGAAGTACAAATATACTGTGGTTGTGTGATAATTAAAAGAAACAGCATAACTGGCAAATTGCTTACTTTTTCTTTAAGATAAAATTCCTACTTCAGTGCAATTTTGCATGGTGCACATATTAGTTAGCAATAAAATTATATTAGATTATTAGTTACAGAAATTCAGTTGATGAGGTTACAAATTAATGTGGGTAGAAGTTTAATAATCATGTGTTGTATATTCATAAAATTCAATTGGAGATGCATGTTTCATTTTAAGATCCAGTTCAGTATACTGGCTGTTGGTGCCTAGTTTAAATAGCATACACTACAATGGTAAGAAGTTTATTAGTTTTTAATCTGCATTGTATTTGCAGTTTGATTCAGCTCATACCACATAAAAAAGAAGGTAAATGGCCTTAGCTACATCTTTGTTCCAGTGTCATTCCAGCAGAGACCAGAAATACAGTATGATTTAAGTTATATACGTACTTGGGCTGTGACAAATGTAATAGACAGTTCTTTTCATGTTTGGATAGCTGTGATAATGTTATCAGGTCTTATATTGTGCCCTCGTAGCTGGTGATGTGTTACCGATCTCTTGCATGTACTGCCAGTCTACTGCCACTTGGGCTAAATGCTAGAAAGACTTTTGACAGTTTTACATTTTCATTTATGTTTTGAATGAAATGGTCAAAGGAGGACTTTCAATGACTATGTTCACTAAATATACTTGATTAAACATTGTTATCTATATACTGTATAATTTAATTGTTTTACTGTATTAAACTTGAATGATAATGGTCTAATGCCTGATGAAGTTCATGGTTATTTACTGAACATACAGTACAGTACTATTGTTTTGAGATTTTGTTTCCAATAAAAAAATTCTTCTGGTTGAAGAATATTTAAACATTCATGATGTTTTTTGTTTTTGTTTTTTTAACAACAAAAACTGTGATTGGCCGGTGTCCATAAGACGTGTATAGTATCAAGCTCAAAGGTATCTTTTGATAGAAATATTACACCTTGTAACAGTTACATACAAACTTGTACTGTATCTGTGTTCCAGATTAGTACTTGGATAAAGTACTATACTGTACACAGCTGAGTATACCATTAGTGTCACTTTCTTTGGCAGGTCATGTGCTATTCTTGGTATCACATTTAAGATTGATTATACCTGTAGTGTTGGCAAAAATTTTTGGTACAAAGGTCATTTAATGTGAAACTGGCAAGAAAACTTGACTTGAAGGTGCTTAACATGGAAGGCAGTAGCCATCAGTATGAACTGTAGCCTTCAGATGACCAGTCTGAAATTGTCTGTGCAGTTTTAAATCTTATACTTTCACAATTAGGGAAATTTGAATTAAGTCCTCATTATATAGGAGTGAGTAAGGAAAAAAAGGTTTTTGTACAATAATGATCCCCTCAAAATAGGTGGTTCTAGTAGTAAAGTTGCATTTTTTTTTACATGTAATTAAAGTCATCATCTAGTTTTGATCATTCCATTATGCTGAAGGTCAAGTGCAAAACAAAAACATTTGTAGTAGTACTGTATGTAATTGGGCGCATTACCGACCACCACCATACATTTCACACTATCCACAAAGAGGAACATTTATCATCCATCTCATAATCCCCACAAAAACCACAAACCATACCCCAGTCCAGTCTAGATATAAAGTACATGTACCGTAATGTAAGAATCGTTACTGCGGTCATTGGTTTCATTCTAGTTAACTGTACTAGACTTGAGTAATGATTAAGTGTGAATTACGTTCATGTTTACGTAGTGTGCAATTTACCTAGTCTAGCTTTTTTTTTTTTTTTTCCTTTTTTGGTCATAGCTAGTCATCGGTCCTATAGATGAATTTTTTAGGGAATACAGTATAATTGCTCTGCTACACATTTGGGAAAATTCCTTAACCAGGACTATTTTTTGGTATTTGTTTTGCTTTTAGATATACATTTATATTTAGCATTAAGGTTTTTTTTTCTTTTGGGTAACAGGCATAGGAAATATTTTTTCCTACTGTAGATTTTGCAGTCATGTTTTGTCTCTTAAGAATATGATGACATTTGGTGTGAAATTAAATTGCTGTATTGAAGTGCATTCAAGCTATATTGAAAACTGTCTGCTTAAGAATATTTCAGTACAGTGATACAATGTGTTTCCATTGGATGAGTAGCTCTTCCACAGCTTTCAGTTAAGTGTTTACTGTGAAATACAAAGTAAAAACTTTACATCAGAGTATGATCTGTTGTCCTGTAACATAACATCAGAGTACAATCTGTTGTCTTGTAACATACATCAAGAGTACAATCTGTTGCCCTGTAACACTGAGGTTATGATAGCTATCTGTTTTGAGATGTGCTGCTGTTAAAGCAAGAAGGGATTTTATTCTATCAAGTTGTTTGGGAAAAATTGCAAGTAAAAATGTTTAATAAAAATTAGATATTTAATTGTTGTTTCTTAGCCACTTGTTGATATTGTAATTATTTTTAGCATTGTGAACCACTTTGGTAACTCATCAAGGTATTATACGATTCTTTCTTAACCAGATTTGATGGTCTCCGCAATTATGTTCAAACGCTTATTAGCATTTTTTTCTTTTCTTAATGCACTCGCTTTTTGCCCAAAAGAAATATTTATGAGAAATAACACCAAACACATATGAAGTCTGGAGATATGTGGTACTATGCACTTGAAAATGTTATCTCTAGAATGAGGAAATCAATCCAGTGCAAGGTACAGTACTAAATGAAGAGGGTAAGTCATGGCAGTTTTATCAGGCTTCCACCAAAGCTCGTCTTTATATAAACTTACTGCATTTTCATGTGTTCTCCCCCATACACTTACCCCAGTGTTTCTAGGTACAGTACCAGATTAATTACCCCACACACAATTTACCCGGGGAAGGGGGGAAGATCGACTGATGATCCGTGTAGGCTGTCGTAGTAGACATTTGAGGCCATAATGCTCACAACAAATTTTAAGTATTATACAGGTGTCCCCTGATTTACGAAAGGGTTCCGTTTCTCAAAATTATTTCGTAAATTGTATCACATTTTTGTATAGAGGTGAATATCCCCAAAAGATGCTTTTCCTGTTTTCTTCTTTTTCATACACAAACCAGTGACTGTGGTACCTAACACTAATATGTTTTGTTAGGTAGGAAATACAATTTTGGAAGTGTTTAGAAGAAACATTATGGTTAAAATTCAAATGTTTAAAGTAATGGAGAGAGTTTGTAGCAGCCCACAATAATCACAATGAAAAGATTAGTTGAAAGTTAAAAACCTGATACTGTATATAATTTACAATACAGAGGTGTGAGATTGAGTGGGCCCAATGCAAACGGAGAAATTTTAAAGATACCGAACTATGAAGCTGTAGCTAAATGTAGACAGGATTACTAAGGCACCTTGGCTTTACCAACACCGGGATTTTGAGAAATGAGGGATTAATCTGAAATCTCATTTTATATCCAAACCCAGATCAGGTAATTCTTGTAGTCTACAACTTCAAGAACTGAAAACCCAATATGCTCAGGACATTAACACAAGACTGGAGTTAATCTTTGCTTCCCCATCTGATGGATACAGCAGTTACAACCAAATGCTTAAAAACTGAACATTGTGGCCCGAATTCAGGATGGTGATTTGAGCTCGGCTCAGACGTGCAAATTGGGATTCCTCGATCCGAGATTTCCAGCAGTGGATTACCCAAACTGTATTCAGAACATTGGCTTGAACCCAGGATCGGGTAATCTGTTGCATTTTCTTTAATCACGAGAAACGATTTGAACACTGAAATTCTAGCCAATAATGTTTCGTTTACTCCATTATGACAGCCAATCACCATCGAGAGTAATGTTTACAAGATTATGGCGGCAACTGTGACTCAAGTTTTTATGGAGGAGGAGAAATCTCTCCTTGCACATCATAAGTTACTTTTGTTACTATAATTACAATCAAATTATGATAAAATTATAATGATTTATGGTATTATTTTATGTGGCAGTCTTGTTATATGATGATAAAGGAATTCATTGAGGAAGAACAATTACATACAAATTGTCGATAAAATCCGTGACAGGTGTCGATATTCATAATCAAAATAAAAAGAAGCAATGCAGGGCGTAGTAACCTGGCTAGGTTACGTTTTTTCTGTTCTTTTAACCCCACATTTCCCTTAATAGTAATGTTAAGAAATGACTTTCCTTTATCAATACATTAAAATCAAAATGCACTCAGCATTGACTCAAAATAAAGAAGCATCAGCTTTCTTTACATAACCCGTTTGATCTTCATGGACCCTAAACACAAAAGTATTGTAACACATTCCCATAACTCATTCAGTAACCAGAATCTTTCTTACCTGGAAACAATTCGTTGTGAAGAATCTCAAAGTAATCATCAACTGATGAATGGGAGGTAGACGTGAACCATAGCTAACAGGTCTGTCAAGTAGAAGCTCCATATCACAGAAAATATCAAGGAAGTCTCCCTTGCTGAACCTATATCGTTGTCTGAATTGCGTGTCATCATAAAAATTGATAGGAGTCTGCTTATCTAACATCAGTCTTCTCTCTACAAAATTTCAATTTGACAATATCGCCGAAAAGTACGCTCTGTCAAAATTCATGTTGACTTGTTATCTTGAATGAAGGATCAACTACTAAACCTGTCTCCAGGCTGGATTAATGCAAAAATCAACAAATCTGATCTCAAACCCGGTTTGAATCTTTGTGTTGGCTCAAGCCAGCTTTCTGAATACTGTACCAACAAACTTCAATCTTAGCTCGATCCTTGGTTTAAACCTTCATGCGGTTTTCAAACTAGCATTCTGAATTCGGGCCTAAGAGATCATTGGAACTGCTAAAGGGAGTTTGAACTGAAGAAACTGATCACAAACTGGTGCTTTTTATCTAAGTACAGTAATGGTGATTAAAAAGCAGACTAGGCCTAGAGTGATCACTAAACTTGATGCTATCAGTTTTCAGTTGTTACTGCCACTCGATCAGCTTTGATGGGAAAGTGTAAATCAAGCTCTAATGTGTCCAGGTCTTGGGAACCCTGGGTTTTTCAACTTGTGGACTGGTTGACTATATATGAATTGTCCAAGCTAGGCATAGTTATAATAGTACAGGTCATATCAGAATACCAAAGTCAAATTATTACGGAAGAATAATATACAGTTGCAGAAATGTGTTCCATCACCCCCTGTGGTAACCCGTCTCTCCAAACGGCAGTATTACTATTTATGATTGAATTGGTATTGGTGGTGTAACGAATGGACGTGATTGGTGGATAGGTTTGCTATAGGTCACACAGGTTGGCTGTTTGGAGACACGGGTTACCACATGGGGGATAGAAACACATTCCCACAACTGTACAATGAATGGTGTATAAATGGATATATCTGTTGACTTATAGTGTCTTTGTATATGGGGAAGTCAAAGCATAGATGTACTACCCTGATCTCAAAGTGGGAGAGTTTTTTTCAGATGTACTGTAAGAAGAGTGATGCTTGGGAAAAACTGCCAATACACTTTATATGTAAATAACCATAAAAAGCTAAAAATGCACCATTTTTTAACAACATATATATTCTTGCAATTTTAATTAAATTTGTACAATTTCCATGATACAAAAAAAACCTTTCAAATTACCAAATAAGAAAATATAAAAATAAGATTAACCAACAAGAGGAGGAAGACCTGAAAACACAAGCCATCATCCAAATTACTCTACAGTACTTACAAGCATAAAATTGATCAGTATTTCAAAAGAATTTAAAACTGAGTAACTTGACAAGTATTCCAATCTAATACAGACAAGCAAAGACAATATCTAACTGTTAAAATTTACTTGAAATTTTTGCATTTATTTGGATACCATATTAGTATGTAATGAGACACAACCACTTGTCAAACTTGAGTCATATATATATATACAGTATATCTGGTATATACAGTTCTACAGTATATATATATATATAAAAGACATCACAAGGACACAACAATGACAGCTCACCAATGCATCACATAAAATCGTCAGAATCCTCATCAGCCGCCTGTTTGTTTGTCTTCATGTTGTCTGATGAGAACAAAGAATTGTAGCTCCTAGAACAAAGAAATAATGACATGTAATTAAAGTTTGCCTAACATGTACACAACAATGTCTCCCATCTGCCTCTAAATTCCCTTACAACAGTACAGCACTATTAACATTAATGCTGACTACTACTATATGAAAAAGTATTTCTCTTTACCCCTTCCTTACTACACTTTCATTGTTTCTGATATTAGTTAGAACAGCACTACTACCATCATAAACGAGGCACTGCGGATATAGTGATGACCTCAACACGTAAGCAAAAATTCATCCCGTGGTAACAATTCTCTCCCGAGTCTGTAAAAGAGAATGGAACAATATCCTAAGATGTCAGATCGTCAACAGTATCGGGAAAATTTAATGTGTCCGAAGAGGTATATGAGATAACATGCATACATGTCAAGGTCGTCACTAATATCCGTATACCGTACCTCATGTTTGTACAGCTACTCCCCAACTTATGTCCACCCGCACTTACGACCTGCCTCAGTCGTACCAAAAATTGGTCAAATTACGTATTTTCGAGTCCCAAAGTCAGTACAGACAAAATTTTCATCTATAATTCACTTTAAAATGGCTGGCAAGCTTAAAAGTGAGTGTTTTGTGGTGCTGAGAAGAAAAAGAGACCCCCATTTTCGATTTTCTATGTGTTATTTAAGCATTTACGACTTACGACCTGGATGTCGGTCCCTAACCCAGTCGTAAGTAGGGGAGCAGCTGTATACTGAACTGAGTCAAACCTCGTAGTAACAAAAGGATTAATAACTGGTACACATATGAGGGATATATTCCTCAAGGTCCTGTCAAGAGGAGTAAAGAATGACGGGATGTAATCCAGAGGTTTCAATGCTATATGGAATTTCCCCTGTAATGTGCTGTATTTCTCATTGTTTTACTAACTTACCTAAGTTCTTGTTCTTTCTTTCTTAGCTCCAATTCTTCTTTTTCCTTCTGCTGCTTTTCCTTTAGTTCTTTCTTCTGGGCATTTCGCTCTACTCTGTCTCGTTCTTCTCGTTCTAGTCTGAAATCTGGGTGAGATTCTGTTTTGGTCTTGTTCAATCGATTAATTACCTCATTAATGCGCTTTTCCAAACGAATTTTCCGTACCTGAGTGAAAAAAGAATAGACTTAACAGGAATACCAAGGCACAGATTTAAGTATGGTTTACATAAATATTAAAATATCAAAATCACATTTGGTTATTCCAGGCATGAAACAACAAAATTGAAAATACAATAATTATTTCCAGTTCTCTTGGTAGTGTCAGAACCCTGTGATAGAGTCAGTGGGTCAAGATAAAAACTTAATACACCTGTCATATAATATACTCATATGTTGATAACATTTAGGTACACAGTAGAGTACTTTGATAATAAGAGTACAGTGATAATTATAAGACATTAAAACCACTGACCTCCTTCTCGCTGTGGAACCCAACCTGGCCCACATCCATCCCTGGGGTCTTGCGAAGGTTAGACCATAGAGTATAAACCACATCAACGTTGTTCATCTTGTTGCCCTGGAATTATTGTTTATGCAGTTGCAAATGTAATAATGCATAGTATATATTAAGACACGCTAGAGGGTTGAATAATTCACTTAAATTCTATATCACATCTTTTGCATTACCCAACAGAGCAGTTTCATTAGCAATGCCAGTTGACTTGCATGCCATTTGCAACCTATATCTTTGTACGTAATTAAAAAAAATTTCATTCACGCAAGTACTGTACTTTTTATTCCTCCACATCACAAACAGAAGATCTTTCACCATTTTCTCATTCATTACATTTAACAGTAGCTCAAAAATATTGCCCTCACCTTCCTATTTTTTCCCCCTTTACCACTATACACAGTACAGTAAGTCCTCGTTTAAAGTTGCCCCCGACAACGTTGTTTCGTTATAACGTCGCTACTCTTTAGATACCCATGATTCGGACAATGTCCAGCCGATTCGGTATAACGTTGTCACGAACTACTTTGTACGGTGCATCACCCTCTCTCACCCAGTCAGAGTGGGAGGAGGAGCCACCCTCCTCTCCACCACACACTCGCTCCACCTCCGACCATCAGTGAGTACAAGACAAAATGAGTTTGTTTATTTATCTTTTTGGATGTATAATACTGTATATACTATTTTCTATAAAAATTCCATTGAATTTATGTATATGTAATGCATTTTATGGGGCAAAGGGAGGCTCGGGAACGTAACTCCCATATCTTATCTGTTTCTTATGGGGAAAATTGATTCCGTTAAAGTCGTGGTTTTCAAGAACGGAGTCACGATGTTAAGCGAAGACTTACTGTACAGTGTACATACAACCGTAATTCTCAACAGCTATTTCTTATTTTTTATTTTCTTGGTTTTCTCAACTTTATATAATCCTTCCACAACTTTCCTCCCATCTTTCATCTGCTCTTCTATATTGGACAACTAATACAAAAAGGCTAAATCAGCATAAATTAAGCATTATATCATTATGGTACACCAACATACTGTACCTGGATGCTGTTGGCCTTACACAGCTGGGCAGCATCTTCAATGACAGCCATTGAAATATCATCTATCGTTTGACCCTTGAGAGGAAAAAAATACATTAGTTCCTTTAAGTTGTATGATTACCAGTAACAACCTATTCTTTAATAACAATTCATCCCCAACCATCATACATGTAAATCTAATTAGTAAATCACTCTATAACTTTAACGATCATTCAGGCTGTCTTATTCACATCCTTAAGCCCCAAGGGAAAACATTTCTGGTTAACCCAAACAGAGAATTAACCACAGTACAGAAGAGACTTACTGGGTTGAGTCTGAGGTAAACGTGAGCTGACGACACTTTGTCCACGTGGAACCAAACGTCCTCTGGCCAGCCCCACTTAATTAAATCTTCATCTAAAATTAAATAAATGGTTTATAGTAAATTAGTTATTTACACAATATATTACAAAAGAAATTAATAATGTAATAAGAGTGAATACTGTATTAGTGCATAATATTACAAAAGAAATTAATAATGTAATAAGAGGGAATACTGTATTAGTGCATAAACTATGAGGAAGAACACAGTGGGAATAACAAATATTGTGGAGTAAACAGTTTTGTACATCTTAATACATCTGCCACGGTCTAATTACAAATATACAGCATCAATACTGAAGACTATAATATCACAAAAATTAATGTTGGTGTCTTTACTGACTAATGGTAGTGACTGAAATACAGGTACATACACTATTATATTAAGATAAGTACAGTACCAGCATAAGGTATTTAACATAAGAAAAATGAAGAGTTGTATCTTTAGTTCTCAGAGGAAGAAATATCGCATAAACACAGATACCTGTATACACTTAAAACATATGTTTCAATAATCTTCAAGTGACTTACTTTCATATTTATCAAGTCCCATGAAGAGAGTGACTGGCGGGTCCACCACTGAAGTAAGAAAAATACCAATAAATATACTGTAAAAAAAAACTAAAAAAAATACAAGTACATGTACAACATTCTGTACAGTATATGATGAATGTGTCATTTTAAATTCAAATTACCTTTTAATATATGATTTTTTTTACCTGAAATTTCACAAATATGTTTTTAATTATGTTCGAGTTAACTGTCCAGTGTGAAGGCTTTATATTAGTAAGAATAAGAAAGGGTTGCTCCTATGTTTTTGGCACTGGATACTCTGCCGTGACTGTTAAGTTCCCACTAACGCTATTTTACCATGAGTGCGCTCTGATTGGCTTATCATCCACTACCGGCGAACAACGCGAGAACTATATTTGAACATCTCCGGCAGCATTTGGCATTGATTTCGCTGTGAGTCGATCATTGTGTAGCTGTAAACATACCTAACCATATTTCTGTTGTGCATGGGACTTACCATTATAAAAGAGACGACATTTATTTACACCTAATAGAACCTGACCTAACCAACCAAAGAAACCTTCCTAACCTTACCTACAGTAACTTCCTAGCAGAGGGTTAGACATATTAAACAGGAAGTACTTACCGTAGCCAATTAAAGAACATTCACGGTAAAATAAAGTTAGTAAGAACTTAGCCGGTCACGGCAAAATATCCACTACTATTTAAATAAGAACTTCACCAAACTGTCAGCGGGCAGTAGCTACAGTACGTGTAACATGCAAGCACAAAAATATTGACACAACTGATCCTGCGGAGTAAAACACAGCAATTTACTAGCGTCCAATATTTTAACTTACCCTTACTGGTAAAATAAAAGACCATAGTGTAAGATGCACGAGACCCCAGGAAACAGCTCGTACAGAGAAGGTGCAAGAAGCAGTCAGACCAGCTGACACACGTGTAAACACTGACACTGTTGCCAGACCCCTCACCCCACCATGGTCTATGGCTATATTTTATTATTATCAGATTTAGGAGCTCTATTCACATATAAAAATGCAGATCAATACATATTAGAATGCTCAGTATAAATTAAATGTAAAGGAGTGTAATTCCCACATGGTGATATAATTTAGTTGATCCTTTAATGCAAATAGCAATAGAAGTGTATCTAAGCATTACCAAATAGTTCTATATTTTAGTACTTGCATCATATATTAACTTATAGTTATATCCTTCTACTGTATTTCATAAAGGTTATTCTCAAATTCAATACGCTATGAGGAAGTGTAACAACCTGCGTCTAGTGGGCGTTGTTGCTTACCATAAGTAACTTACTTCACTTGATAACATCTTATCATCTATTTAGTTTTGTATTTAATAAGTTTTCTATTATATTCTATGCCATAAGAAAATCTACCAGTGCTAACTCCCTCAAACCACCACCACCACTTCAAGACAAATGTGATGGATTTCTTTTTTATTCGGTGAAAAATATAAAAAAAAGTCACGAAATGTATTACAGAAGATGAATATATATTTATTTACTGAAATATCAATTTGATGTCTATAAGGAATATATATATATATATATATATATATATATATATATATATATATATATATATATATATATATATATATATATATATATATATATAAAACTCATACTATCCAGATTCTTGGTATGTTAATAGTAAGTAGAAGCTCAAGATGTAATGAAAATTGTAATTTATTTTAAAATGTAATAATATCAAGAAAACGATACATAAAAATTATATAAGCTTGTGTGTATTGCACCCAGTCCTTTATACTAACGACCACTGTCAGCTCGAGGACTGGGAGGCCGTAAACACTAACGGAATTCTCTTCAACGAGACGTTTGGTAAGGAGATAATAGAAGGACATTTACCTAATAAGGTAAGTTACTTAATATTATACTCCTAAACAAGCTCTGAGAAACGTCGTGACACAAGGGAACTTTCAAGTAAGTATTTTATCTCATTTACCACCGAGGCTCGTCTGTAATTCACACGAAACTCGCCTGTATTTGTCTATAGATAAGAATACAATGAAAATTATCTCGTATAGTTAACTTACTGCTCACCTTTACTTACCTGTAGATGGGAGCGAAGGACTGAGGAAACCGTGGTAGGTAATGGTGCCCTTAATAATGGTAAATCTTCTTTAATTTATCTATTTCCTGCCCACCACCAGCTGGCGTGGGTAGTGGGCGAGTATCACAGAAAAATATAAAAAGTTCTATTTCTTCATTGTATTTAATGTAAATTTTATAAAAAAAATAATATTTCTTCATCATATTTCATTTATTCCTAAGGCAATAAATATGTGTAAATATTCGTCCATTGAACATTTTCATTTTTAACAAACCGCTAATTTGGAGGTCAGATTTGAGCAAAACACACACACAAAAAAAAATAAAAATATTCTCATACCAAAGGAACCAACCTACCTTACCTAACCTACAAGGAGGAGACGAGTGACTCAAAGTGAGGAGTATAGCCTCAAGTAAACAGGGCAGGAACCTGCAGTCAGCCAATGGACGAATATTAACCAAAATAAGTTTTCTTCTATAGATATATTTTGTTAGGTAGCTGGTTAACCCAGACCCTTGTTCTTTACTGTTACCAAACCAAATTAACCTTTTTATTCCTAGTCTGGCTAAGCTTACGGACCATTTACGGGTAAAATTATCGTTTTGGTCATGTACCTATTTTCCGAAACTCAGAATCGTTCAAAACACGTCAAAAACCATTGGTAAAACGTAATTTTAACCTAATCTAAACCTAAATTCACTGCATGATTGAAACAATAATAATACCCATTTACCTGTATGACTTCGGTAGTTGTAATCACTTTTTGTTGTTAACTGTGTGTGTAACTGTGTATATATTGTAACTACCATGAATTAATGTTCATATAATGTGTGTTGCAGATCATGGATTCGGAAAGGGAGAAATTCCGCACTTATGTCGAGAAGTCGGGTGTGATGTCTGCATTAACTAACGCTCTGGTACACCTGTACGAAGAACCAGAGAAGCCCAATGATGCCTTAACTTACCTCAAGCTAACTCTAGGGACCATGAACCATGAGGAGAAACATGTGCAGATGCTTGAAGAAAAAGTATATACTGTATATTATTACTTTTTATTTTATTTATTTTAGGGAGTTTTTTAAAATACTGCAACTATGGCCAGTTAACGCTATAGTAATCCCCTCATATTTTAGCCCTCGTGAGATTATACGGTGCTACTATAGCGTGCGGTCTACAAGATATTTAGGTAAACTAAAGATAAATTTGTAGACAGCACACTATAGTATCAACCAATTACGGTATACAGTATATTTAGTTTATCTAGAACAGAACATTAGTTTCATAAAGTGCTCCTGAAAACTTTCTAAAGGTGCTCCAGAAAAACCTAGTAAAAGTGCTTAGCTCCTCTAGGCTTTGCGAAAATGTGGACGAGGTCTGAAGTACAGTTCAGGTGCCGGACATTTTTAAATTTAATCTTTTATGGCCTACAAGTCACTCGTTAAGTTACTTTTGGGGATATTTCTTCCCCTGATCATTTTTATTATTTTATTTCTTAACTGAAGTTTCAAATTTAGAAATAAACCAGTGAAACCTCCATATAACGAACATTCGTATCTATCTAGTACGTTAGATGGAGGTTTCGTATCTAATAGACCCTCGATATAACAGACTTTCCTCTCCATATAGCCTGCTACATAGAGGTTTTACTGTATATAAGCTTTGGGTAGCGCTCCCTATTAACTTGGCTTATATATAAATAAGTTAAGGGGTTAAGTTAGGTGATTGTATTATATAAACTAAATGTATTAACCCAAATTTATATAATTGTTATTGCCATGAGACAAGGGCTAATACAACTGTATTGGACAAGAAATGATCAAGTAAAAGCAATATATTTATTTATAATTTATATGCATATTTATTGACTTATGCCATTCGTAGATGATCATCATTTAGTACGTTATTGCTTGTGAGGAATATATATATTATATATATATATATATATATATATATATATATATATATATAATTTTTTTTTTCTAACACAGATTAAGGAGCAGAAGGCCACAATTGATAATCTCAATGCAGAAAATGCTTTCCTCAAGGAGCGTCTAGCCCAGGCTGAAGCTGCTGCTGCTTTTAAGGCGACCACAGGCCAGGCTGAGACTAAAGATAATGTAACTAAACACCCGCCAGAGGACGTTTAGCGAGGAAATGTGGGTGAGTGAGTACAGTAGTAGGTTTTGGATCTGCTATACCCATATGTAATCTATTGATGGTTAATGTAACTCTTATTCTCATGCTGTCTTTATCATGAATATTGTACAAAAAAAACTTGTTCCAGATATTTTATGAACAACAATCTGGATCAAGTTTTCAGCTGACTCACTAAAACATTTTAAAATATTTTACATAATTTTTGTCATTATCTCTTGTTTTTATTTATATTGTATCAGGTACAGTATTTGCAGTAACATGGTCCACAAGTACAGTCAGTTACTAAAGTCCATTCGCCTCTCCCCCTGAATCACGGACCCCCGAGATTCAGATTCGTGAACCCGAAGCAGTAGACCGATACATTATTCTGTCCACAGATGCTTCAGATTCATGAGTCTGAATCTCGGGGGTTCGTGGGTCTAGGGGGGTAGGCGAATGGTCTTTAGTAGCTGGCTTTACCATTGGTTCATCTTTCACTTGATCACCGTTGAGTTGCACCATACAGCAATATCTAACATAAAACCAATTCTTTGATTTAAATGTATTACACTTTTTTTTGCTTATCATTCAGTATTTTACGATCCCTCTTTTTTGTGATATTTAAGGTTTAAAAAAACCATTTCCAATTAACATTGTCGTTTGTCTTTGAGCATATTTCACACTTGTCGTCTTATATTTCTATATTTTGTGTTTATTTCTTAACCTCTTGTTTTCTAAATGAGGTTAGGGTAGTATTTTTGTCATCCATTTTCTTGTTACTTCAAATTGTCTTATTTAACCAGCTAACTTGTACAATCATGGAAAATGGTTGTATAACGATTGTGTAAAATATCTGATAAGGTTCCTCACTATATTAATTTACTGGTCATAAATATGTATATATGTATATATACTGTATTTTACTTAGGCAATTACTAATGTAAGTTTTTTATGTTCCAGATGTTAGCACTGGTGTGAGGGGGTTTGAGTTGTACTGCATAAGGAAACTATTATTTGGTTAACAGAATATAAATTTCTTTTGTTTAAATATTTTTCCTTGTTTAAATTTTCCATTTCCTTATGTTGATATCTGTTATCTTCTTTTGTTTGGTTTGCATTAAGATATTTTGGAAACTTCAAAGAAATTGATAGAGAAGACAGGTGTGAGACAAGTACAGTACTGTACATGACATGACAGGAAAGGGCAATGACAGCAAACATGAATATCCTTGTCCTAACTCTTTTACATGTTAAAAGTTTATCAAATTGATGGGATTAACCCACCCGGGCACAGGTCACTGACCCACACCGGGCCCTGGGGAACGAAAATGTAATAATGATAATAATAATAATAATAATTCATAATAAATGTATAAAAAAATAAAATAATAATCATAAAAAAAAGATCAATAGTGAGAAACGATATATGTATGTTGTGTTGTCAAAGTGAAAGAAACAATTGAGACCTGCAATTGTGTGTAAATGAGGCAGAAAGTCAGATGAGCAACCTGGGACTTGGTGAAAATTTTTGTCATGCCATATAGCAGCAGGGTCTACCATTAGACAATACAATACAGTATATGCTTCAAATATCTTCCCAGGCGGTAGTACCTCCGTTTGATTGTACTTACAGTACTTCATTCATACACTTTTATTTGATTTAAATGGTTTTGTATATTTCTTATCATTATTAAATAATCTCTCTTGTTGTTTGACTGAAATAAGGTCTTTACATTTACCTTGTATAATATTGTATACAGTAATGATGCTGTAGTGTCCAAAAATTTAAGAGGAAACCTGCTTAATTTTGTTTTTTCTAGTTATATATTTTTTTAATTGTTTGTATAGTACTCGGTATAAACATATGATCTCAATTTAGTATGGCCCTCATTTCCTGATACAGTACTACTGGTGTCAACAATTAATAACTCTGACAGTTGGCTTCTATTTATATGCTAAATATAGTTTAAATGTGAATTACTCTATTCAAATAATATTTTTTGTACACAATAAATGTTCTGGAATGTGAAGTTGCTTGTATTTTTTTCATAACCATAATATACTGATCAAGACAAGGGAGCAAGTCACAGTTTACCTTCTTAGTGTGTGTGTGTGTGTGTGATGAATGTTCTCACAGTACAGTAAAGGCAGTTAACCTCACAATCTTGTACAGTAAAATCTCTATTTAATGGACTATACGGAGAGGAAAGTCAGTTATATCGAGGGTCCATTAGATGTGAAAACCTCTCCATCAAATGGATCATATGGAGAAAAGTCCATTATATGGGGGGTGTCACTTAACAAAACAAGAATACTGGAGTGTTTAGATTATGCATGCCTGTAGTGAGACTGATTAAAAAGAGTAATTGAAGTTAAAATGAATGAAAAGAACCTTGGTGTTTAGGTTATGCTCAAAACAAAATAAAGTAGAGATATTAAGAAGTGTGAAGGGAACAAGTGAAAAGGTTTAAAACTCAGGAGTGTGTTGAAGTACATGAGTAAAATGGGTGTATAAATCATGTGTCACAGAAAGACTTTTGGTTGAAGCAAGTTTGATTAGAGAATTGAATTCTATAAACCTTAGTGATGGTCAGTACAACACTGATAATATGTTACACAAATTTATTTGTCAGTGGCCCAAGGTTAAAAATGCTTTGAAAGCATTCGAGGTAGATGTAGGATAGATGATTAATGGGTCTCATATTTTTTACCTAACTTAACATTACTAGTTATGTCGCCCTTTCTTTTAAGCTTCTCTTATGTTTGCGGTGGTGTTGGTGTGTGGATTAGTGGATGTCATGTTTTTGACCTGATATATATATATATATATATATATATATATATATATATATATATATATATATATATATATATATATATATATATATATATATATATATATATATATATATATATATACCGGTACTGTACAGTATACAGGGTATATGTGTGCGTGCATGTGTATGTTTCTGTGTGTGTTTGTGTATGTCTCTGTGGGTGTGGAGTAAAGTGAAAGTCATGTAGTAAACAGTGAAGGTTAAAGTTCTCACTTGACTAGTAACTCAGCCAAGCAGTGTATCTCTATCAGCCAGGCATGATAGTGTACTGTACCTGCTGGTCTCACATATGTTTAACTCAACCTTTTTATCGTTAATGACAGTGTACTTACTGACCTAGGGCATACATGCTTTGTTGTTAATACTCAATATAAAATAACGTATGCAAGAAGCGGTTTCTAACGAGCAGCTGTGGGAAAAGTGAACATAAGAGAGGAAGATCAACAACTAAAAGTGAGTTATTTAACACACTTAGTATTCTTTCAGTAAGTCAGTAGGCATTTGTGGTGACCTTATGTTAGTGGCATGTGGTGAGGAATATGGGTGTAATGGAAGAGGCTAAGGATCGCCTGAAGATTAGGCACCTCAGCTTATGTCACTTGAAGATTAAACACCCTAATGCTAGCCTAGCTTAATTACCTCCCTCCCAAAGTAATGTTTGGGTATACGAGTATAATCATCAAGTGAAATAAACTGGGGTCTCTAGACTTCAGGTGAGTCAGGGCTGACTTATCTCTCCCTCCCTCCCTGTTTCTCCCTCTCAGGCCCCTTTACCTAACCTACTTACTCTCACAATCATATGGGTGAAATAAAGGGAGGACAAGACATACTGATTATGTCCCTTGTAAGTGGGGTTAGGTTAGGTTAGATTAGATTAATAGTTATGTTAGGTTAAATTAGGTTAATGTCAGGGTGGTTAGGTTAGATTAAGGTATATCAGGTTAGATTAGATTATGTTAACGTTAGGGTGAAATAAGCTGGAGTGCCTAGTCTTCATTTGAGCAGAATAACTATAAAACATTATTATATTAATGAACAAAAAGTAAGTTATCATTCTAAGCTATTTCCCTTTTAATAAAAAAAATGTGAAGAAGAATAAAATTGCGACTAAACCAAGTGTGATTTTTTCTTATAAAAAAAAAATCCGAAGGGTAAGTTAGTGCTGTATTGTCAATAATCTTTTCACTGTACTTTGGATTCTCAAAAACAATAGACAAAATAAGCAACAGAATTATACTCCAGACTTTACCTTAAAGAGCCATAGATACAATCAAGACTACAGTAACTGAATATTATACGTTCATTTACTACCAGTTAGAGGGGAAAAAATATTCTTGAGTTCCGACCTTAACTGGACATGTTCACCACTTGGGAGACCAAACCAACAGGATCACCAGAAGTCTAGGCACTAACATATTTCACCTATTGTTCATCAGGTGATCCAATTATTGCTGAGAATCTGGACCTTGACTGGTGCAGATGTTATAGCTGAAGTGGTACAGATTGTGACTCTTCCCACAGGTGGTACAACATGGTACAACTGCTGGAGAGGTACAAGGCGCTGGAGTTTTTGGAGAGGGTCGGGGTGGTGGATGGGGAGGCCCTTCTTACTCGAGACCCTCTAGCCTTTATCAACACCCTCATCCCCGCCTTCTTGATTCACGTGCCCTTTCAGGTGAGTCAGAAAGACCTTCATTGAGTTAGGATCCTTCAGTGAGTAGGGACCTTCGGTGAGTCAGAAAGACCTTCAGTAAGTCAAGGACCTTCAGTGAGTGAGTGAGACAGAAAGACCTTCAATGAGTCAGAAAGACCTTCAGTGAGTTAGAAAGACCTTCAGTGAGTCAGGGACCTTCAGTGAGTCAGAAAGACCTTCAGTGACTCCAGTGAGTCAGGGACCTTCAGTGAGTCAGAAAAACCTTCAGTGAGTAGGGACCTTCAGTGAGTCAGGGGCCTTCAGTGAGCCAGGGACCTTCAGTGAGTCAGGGACCTTCAGCGAGTCAGGGACCTTCAGTGAGTCAGAAAAACCTTCAGTGAGTAGGGACCTTCAGTGAGTCAGAAAGACCTTCAGTGAGTCAGAAAGACCTTCAGTGAGCCAGGGACCTTCGGTGAGCCAGGGACCTTCAGTATGTTAGCCATGATGATTCTGTCTTCCATAGTGCGTCAGTTTGGTGGCACAGACTAAGGAGGAGCATCATGTACCCAGCCTGGAGGAGGTAGTGGAGATGATACTTAGTTTGGAGGGTGGCCTCTGCTACAGCCTCAATACCTTCATGTGCATCCTGCTACGCACCCTCCACCTCGACGCTCACGTCTTGAAAGGTGAGTTGACTTACACCTTATGAATATATTGCAGAAAGGAGAATATATATAAAGATGAAAGAAAGTACATGTATATCGCATCCTGAAATAATAGGACACAACAGGTCAAGTGGCTGAATATAGCTTCTTGTGACTTTCATTTCAGTTAATGTGTTTGAGTGTATGTGTGTTTTTCAGTGTATATACCTAGGTTAGGACTAAGGTAAGCCTCTGTGTGTATTCCCAGGGTCGTACACCTCCTCTAGGCTGGAACACAACCACATCTTGGTGCTGGTGAAGGACTTGAGGTAGGCTCTACCACAGTTGACCTCTTCGTGTCATTCTACACTTCTCTCCATACTCACGTCTTGCACCATTTCATCATCTTTCTTCTCATCCTTCACTTTAATTTGTTATTTATACTGCTTCTTATTTCTGATCTACAATATTTTTTAAGATGAAATTTACTTCCACTCAAGTATGGTGGGACACAGTTTAGTGGTGAGAAATTTGCTAACTGGAACTAAGTATCTGACACCAATAGTTGTAGCGTTTCTTTTGGTAATGTCAATACTATACTAGCATTTTTGTTTATAATATCAGTAGTTTGGGTGAATATGTTGAGCCCATATAATAGTTCTGGCATCTCTTCTGAGCAGCAGTAGTTATAACCAAGTTCATCAACATTTTTGACAACGTAGGCATCCCGGGGACGAGCACATCATTGACGTGGGGTGTGGTTACCCCTTGCAGGAGGCAGTGGCCGTGAACAGCCTGCCGGTCACCTACTACTACAGTGGTCTCGAGTATAAGTACTGCAGGAAGGGCGAACTGGTGCTTCGCCTCCACCGTCGAGGCGACACCAACCCAGACAAGGAGCAGGTGAGAGCAACTATACAAATTGTTTTCTCATCTGGAAAATTTGAATCCGTAAGAAAGACATAATTACGCTAAATTAGATGGTGTGGTTTTCTCTGTAATGGCACAAATATATTGTGGTCTCCATCACATTTTAAATATTTTTATATGTTTATATTTACATTGATTCATAATGTTAAAACCCCTAAAATATTACATTATTTTTAGGCCGTGATGGTAGGAGAGTGGCGCCAGATTTTTCACTTCACACTGACCCCCGTCCAGTACGATTTCTTCCTTCCACACATGGCATCTGTATACGTGGACGAGAAAAGCCACTTCATGCAATCTATCTTAGCTGCCAGGTTCCCGACAGCGGATACTGTACTCACTGAGGAACATTCGGGGGATACGAGCTCAAGTATTAGAAAATCAAATCCAGCTAAGGAGGACAATAGTGGGAAGATCTTGATGGCCTTCAAGGACCAGATTCTCATGCTGGGGCCGTTTAATGCGATCGTTACGACCGAGGTGAGTTTGGAGGAATGGGCGACCAAAATAAAAAACTACTTCCCCACCATCCCTCCAGCCAAGGTCGACCTCGCTGTCCGCAACAGGATCCTCAATAAATCATTACATTAACACCTGAAACTCAACAAGTGAAGCAAAGGAAATCACAGCCTACCAGCAGGATTTTTTATGGCTTAAGGCGGCGGCACACTGGGCACTTTCCTCCAAACATGCTGGCCATTGGCCTGATGGCCCAGCTGGATTTCTGCTGTTGCGAGAAATGGACAACGGTATGGCGGGGATCTTTGCTGGCCGGATTAGTGCTCAAATGAGTTTCATATAATTTCAAGTAAAATTTGAAATAAATCAGGAAACCATAATAATTTAAAATATAACACATAAACGTTAACATATTTGTATTTATTCGTCACTTTAAAACTTCTTTAGTATTATTAAATCATTATTCACGTTCTTTGAGCAGCCAACCGCTGCCACTTTAAAAGAAACTTCACGGCGCACCCATTGTCTTTTTTTTCTTTAGCTTTTGCAGACGCCTAACTTGCTTCAGCAATTGAAGAACTACTGTATAGCTCAATCCTGCAAGGCCTCAACTGTAGACGCTTTGCTGTTGTTTTCATTGTGTCGGGCAGACATGCCAACAAAACATCCCAGTGTGACACAAAACATCTCTTTGTTTTGCTGGCCGGACTGTGTTTGCCAAACATGTTTGGAGGAAAGTGCCCAGTGTGCCGCCGCCTTAACATGCACTGTCAACTCTGCTATGTACAGTACTTTCACACTTACTGAATACAGTATACAGTATAGTGTACATAACTGTAATAACTTTTTACATCTAAATGTATGGTATAAGTGTAATGCGAACGAGCACGAGTGAGTGAACCACTGTGTGGCGTGAATGAGCATGTGCACGAGTGCTGTCCTTTAGTGGCATTAATGAGCGCGTACACTCGCACCAAAAAGTATCGGTGCAGGGTGAGATCAACGACTTCCGAAACGATACGTATACACTGTGATGTGTCGGGAAGGTTGCTAAGTGTATCCTCATAACCCCCCCCCCTCCATTAGGTGTTGCCATATGGCTGACAATCAGTGTATTTTTTCCTCTTCGGATTGTTGCTTTGTGTCGATTGAATGATGAGCGAAGGTTTGGTCTCGGTAAACGTGGGTATAAAATAGAGGTAATATGAAGCAGTAGAGATCTACACATGCCAGACAACATGGAAACCTCAGAGGGAACACGAGGAGCTATCATTGCCCTTCATAACGAAGGGTTCGGCGTCACAGATATTAGCAAGCGGGTTGGTGTTCACAGGAACACCACTGCACGATGGATTCGGCGATACCTCGAAACTGGTGCTACAGACGACAGGTCTCGGAGCGGCCATCCACGCTGCGCCACCCCTCAGGACGACCAGGTTGAGTGGTTTATTTGGTAGCATAAATTAATGTGGCAATATTCACAAGTATCACAAATAATTTTGTTAACAGGGAGCTCCTCATATTTCATACTGTCTATTTATCACTTCCCGACCTTATTTATAACTGTTTGTTTCACTTGACCAGGCCATAGTAGCTGTTTGTGATGCAGCTCAGCAGGATTACAGGGCTGCCAACATACGGCTGGAACAACTCACCTTTCCCAACACCTATCGTCACTGGTCTCAAATTGTTCACACTACAGTATGCACCGATACTTTTTGTTGCGAGTGTACGTGAGTGCTGCTACCTAGTGGTGTGAATGAAAGTTGGTTGTGGGTTGGGTTCCGCGAGTCTTGTATTTTACCCTGTAAAGGAGATTGTATTCTGCTGCACCATTGTAAGGACCTCCCAGTAAATTGCATCTGTGAAGCCTGGTTTCTCTGAACCGTCGACACCAAGTAGCATTTGAACACTTAACACTGTATTCTTGGATGATTATGCCCTGGTACAATAATGTACAGCACTGTACAAAAGCAAGCGAGGGAACAACCTTGTACAATGGCAGCAGAATATGAAACTAAGCATTAGAGCCTATGGCTTAAGTTACCCAAGCAGCTAGCCTACCCACGTGCCCAGCACACCTCTTGGAATCCCCCAAAAGATCACAAAAGGTGTCTAGGGATCCAGCCACATCCCAACTCTACCTGCCCATTACACATAATTTCTAACCATACATGGAAACTGCCTTCCATGGTACTGCATTACACCATATTGTCACTGTTATCCGGCAACAAAGAAAATTGCTGTTCGAATAAGTAAAACTGGTACAGTGCGGGGAAAAGGACTAAATCTTACGGAAAGGGATTTTGTGGTGAATGGGTTTACAGGACAGTATACTTGATGACAAGCATAACAAAAACATTTTAATGAGCCCTGGTCAGGAACATCTAAATTCTGGGTAAACTGATTTTTACACCCCCGCGCCTTCCGAACTTGGCACCCTAGGACAAATGCCTCCTACTGCACCCACACCTTCCACATTAATCTGAAGCAGCTGTATACAATGTTCAACATATTAATCTAACCTCAGATTATATCACAGATGACAGCAGTATGCCCCATCCCTCACTTTCTCTCTCATCCTCACCTCCTTGTGTGTTTATACTGTACACTCTCCCTATATGCCTATTTGGGCATTCTTTTCACCTATGCTTCCATTTTTTGAAGCTACTATATCAAGAATAACATAATACTGTATAATATATTTCTCATTACACCGAGGCTACACAAGGATTCTGAGCATTCTTCTAAAACTACCGTAAATCATTATGCCTGAAAAGTCCTATGAGCAACAACCATTTTGTCTCTGTCCCTTATTATTGTACTTCTTTTCTCTCCCAGCCAACTCTTGCCCTGTGTTGGTATCAGCAGGGGACTGTCCAGGGTATGAGACATTAAGGTATCCAAAAGGCTATGGTGATGGTGCACATCTTGACAGTTGATCATAATGGCGTAATTACTAAAGCTGGCAACGGTTGGACCAACAATTTATTATGTGGCCTGGCCCTCCTGCCTCCTATACTCCCCAGCATCCTAACCAAACTTCCGAGTCCTAAATCTCCCATTCCTTCATTATGCAAATCTCTCATTGGCCCTGTCCTTAACTTTCCCCATCTCAGACAGCTTCCAATATCCCTCTCCCCCCCTCTCAACAATGACAACCCTTGCTGTGAGTGATCAGATAAGGAATCCCGGAGTAGGCAGCACCACTCTATTAAGGAGTGGTGCCAGGGAGCTTAGTAGCAATCAACCATCTTGTGAGGTCAGGTGTCCATTCACAGTTGGGTGGATTTGAAGTACGCTGAGTACAGATTAGTGACCCCTGGGGCAGTAGTGACCTCTGGGACAGCAGGTAAATGCTAATGTGGCTGACCTTCATACCCACCATAGTTCTAACCTGGGATAAAAATAATGTGAAGCTGACTAAAATGACAACATGCGGTTGTGATGACAATACTGATGCTGAGTCATTCATCCAGATATTACTGAAAGGTAAGTAGTAGTATGTGGCACCAAAGACAAGTTTTCTTTATAGGTCACCTCACAGCAGAAATTAAGGTTCTTGTGTTATTTTAACATATAATAACTGACCTTGTTACTAGGTGTTGGGGTCATCTACTGATGAAGGGTGTTACAAGGGACCCTGTGCTAATACTTATCCCACGGTACAGTAACTGAACCTTCTAGTACACTATTTTAAGGTCAATGAACTGATTTACCTCTAACGGCTTGGTGATGTGAACCAGCTGATACTTTCTTCTGTTTCAAGTAGCACAAGGCATGAGGTATAAAGTGCTAGTAAATCCTTAAAACCTAGGTGACCAATAAGAAGCAGGAGTTACGAGGCACAGGAGAGGGAGAGGCGGGCACCAGGTAACACGGAATTTGTAATTAGTTAACTGGTAGCCAAGTGAAGGTGGTGATCATGAAACGCTGGCAGCAAGATGTCACCTGGGATAAGGCGTTGCCAATTACCAACATGATGCTAGGTAGTGTTGCCAAGAGGTAGTGGTAGTTGATGATGATGTCAGGTGGTAGTAGTGGAGTTGGGTGGTGTTGCCTGGTATTGGTCAACAGTGATAGTAGGGTAGGGTGGTGGTAGGTAGTGTAGATCGGGGTGGTATTGGTGTAGGGTAGGGTGGTGGTAGGTAGTGTAGATCGGGGTGGTATTGGTGTAGGGTGGTGGTGGTAGGTAGTGTAGATCGGGGTGGTATTGGTGTAGGGTGGTGGTGGTAGGTAGTGTAGATCGGTGGTATTGGTGTAGGGTAGGGTGGTGGTAGGTAGTGTAGATCGGTGTAGGGTGGTTGGTGTAGGGTGGTGGTGGTAGGTAGTGTAGATCGGGGTGGTATTGGTGTAGGGTGGTGGTGGTAGGTAGTGTAGATCGGGGTGGTATTGGTGTGGGGTGGTGGTGGTGGTAGGTAGTGTAGATCAGAGATTGGTATTATTGGTGTAGGGTGGTGGTGGTAGGTAAGGTGTAGATCAGGGATGATTGTAGGGTGGTGGTGGTGGTGGGTAGTGTAGATCAGAATTGGTAGTGTAGATTGGTATTGGTGTAGAGGTGGTGGTGGTAGGTAGTGTAGATCAGAAATTGGTGTAGGGTGGTGGTGGTGGTAGGTAGTGTAGATCGGGGTGGTATTGTAGGGTGGTGGTGGTAGGTAGTGTAGATCGGGGTGGTATTGGTGTAGGGCGGCGGCGGTGGTGGTAGTAAGGTAAGCGCGGTGCTGTTGCCAGGTGGTTAAGGACCAGACAACACACAGTCAGCAGGTGAGGCAGGCTAGACAAGATACAGATCTGCTGATAGTGTAACCCTTGACGACGAACAGCAGGGGGCAGATAATCAAAGCTCGTGACACTAACTACCCCCCGTGGTGACTGCCCCATCGACCAGCAGCCTCATGGTAGTACAGCCCTGTCCCATCTAGCCATCTTGACACACACACACACACACACACACACACACACACACACACACACACACACACACACACACACACACACACACAGTTTTACTCATTTTGACTCATACACTCAACTTCCATACTCACACACCCATCCTCTTTACCCACCATACTCCACTCATATTCATAATTCTTACTCATCTTCTATCCACAATACTCACATTCATTGTACAGTACAGTATTCATCATAGTTCATACACTCATCGTCCTCACTCATAATACACTTCAATAGTTATCAATATTGCCTCATTATGCTCATCTTGGCCCAGAATACTCATCATCCTTACTCCTTATATTCATCATACTAATAAACTCCTCATACTAACTTTACTCATTAATTCATAAAGCGTATTCAACATTCTCATTCTTAGGACAGTCAGTGTTACCTTGTTACAATTGTCAAAATATGAGTACAGTGATGTCTTAACATGGATAGTGTCTAACATGAGCAGTGTGTTAACATGAGCAGTGTGTTAACATGAGCAGTGTGTTAACATGAGCTGTGTTTAACATGAGCAGTGTCCCAGCACAACCAATGCCCTAAAACAAGTAGTTTCCAAGCATAAGCAGTGTCCCAGTACAAGCCAATGTCCCTCCAGCAGGGTTCCTGTACAAAAACAAGACCACCAGTGTTACAAATTATGTTCCAGTACAAATTAACAAATGAAACTACCACCAGTGCTACCCATGCTGACGACCCACACCCACACCTGCTGACGACACACACCCACACCTGCTGATGACCCACACCCAACCTGCCTCCAAAGCCCATGTTTATCGGCAATCACACCTTCTTACGACAGGGAAAAAAAACACACACACACACACCTCTGGATCCACTTTCTCCTGGTGCGACAAACTGAGTTGGTCACATTTAGCTGGTATAGGGCAGTGCTCTGTGGGTGGCCGCCGCTTGTGCTCCCCCCCATTGTCTAGTTCATGTTTTTGTTGGAGGTCATACAGGGACACAACACTTGAGTCTGTCTGTTTGTGTGTTACTCTCGCGTCTCTCTACCTGTTGAAGTGTCCGTCGTCCGTGTGTGTGTTTGTGTGCACGTGACTGTCTGAGTATGTGTTCCGGTTGTCTGTTTCTCTGCCTGATCGTCTGTTATTCGCTTCTTTATTATTTTCTATCTGTTTGTTTATCTTCCTCTCTTTGAAGGCGGAGCACCAGTGAAGAAATGCTCCTTTAACTGTACAAATCTCATGGAGACCCTACATCTAGAAACACCTAACATCCCTAAAAAAAAAGTACAACACACAGTAATTAAGATGATTCCTGAACTATGCCATCTCGATTACCCCAATCAGACTGAGGGCCTTGGCAAAAACAACCCTTCAGACAAGGCACAACAGGACAGATCTCATTGAGACATTCCAATATCCTGAAAGAGATGGAAAACGTGAACCCGGGACATTTCTTTTGTGACGTCACGCACCACCAGCACGAGAGGACATATGATTAGGGTTCAGGAGATAACAGAGAGATGGAAGGCTCTTGAGTAACCAGACACAGTTAAAACCTAAACCAACATCAATCACAACAAACCATTCATTTACAATTAACTGTCCTTTCAGAGAGTACAGTATATTATATTATACAAGGGACACACACACACACACACACACACACACACACACACACACACACACACACACACACACACACACACACACACACACACACACACACACACACACACACACACACACACACACACACACACACACACACACACACACACACACACACACACACACACACACCTCTCCTGCCAGTCACAGTCATAAGTTGCTGCTCATAAGGTGACAGTGGCCCATAAAGTCACATGGAACAATGGTATTAAAGTGTTTCATAACCTGCCACAGCTGTCGTGGTGGGGGAATTAGCGGATAATTTGTCCCTCTCACTTTCTGGGCTAATGTCTACCTTTGATGTCTCGTTGACCTACCTTGATGTTCTCTCACTGTCTCTCTCTCTCTCTCTCGGTCTCTCTGTCTATCTCTCCTGTATACAGAGGTGAATGTACGAGACTGTGTGTCTGTCAGTGTATGAATGAACGAGGTGTGAATGTACGAGCGTATATGTATATGTGTGTGTGTGTGTGTGTGTGTGTGTGTGTGTGTGTGTGTGTGTGTGTGTGTGTGTGTGTCCATGCAGGGGTACATCATAGCATAATTATCTAACTCCCGAACATTCCCTTTACACCCCTTGACACATTGTATTAACACACAGGTCTTATGTAAGTAGATATCAACCAGTTTTTTTCCTCTCCCTCTTCTACAGACATACAAAAATAATACCTGGTTATCGAGGTCATCAGAGGCCGGACAGTTGACCCACCATTGACCCCATACTTCCTTCAACCTAGATTTCTTTCGCATTTGATAATATGAATCGAAAACTACCAGACTAAGAAGGGAAAAAATTTATGACTTTCACATTCTGTAAATTTTAATTATTATTATTTGTATGAGCCTGTTTAACCCAAGTTTGGAGTTTAAATTGTGTTCTGTCATTAAATATTATGATGTAATAATAATAATAATAATAATAATAATAATAATAATAATAATAATAATAACAGTAACGCTAATAACAGTAATAATAATAAGAGTAGAGTTCACTTCCCAGACATCAGAATATTTGCCAAACCCTCAAAATCAACATTAAAGGCTAATTATTAAGTGAAATCATAAGATGGGGCGCCATGTCTCGCCCCAAAACCCGTCTCAACGTGAAATTATTTCCGCTGAACGATCCATCATGAGCAGATTGACGGCGACGCGTGGAAACACTCCAACACACCCCCCCCCCTACGATTATGTCCGTGTAATAATCGAGAGAAGACTGGCCAATCCTCGCTACAGCACACACAAGGAACTCCCATACCTTAAGATCCCAAAGACATAAGAACATAAGAATGGAGGAAACTGCAGCGGGCCTATTGGCCCATACTGGGCAGCCCCGTTTACACCCAACCCCTATTGCTCATATAAGCATCCAACCTATGTTTGAAGCTATCCAGCGTATTCGAGTTAATGATGATGTTTGGTAACTTGTTCCATTCATCCACTACTCTGTTTCCAAACCAGTGTTTACCTATTTCACGCCTAAATATAAATTTGTCTAATTTAAAACCATTGTTACGAGTTCGCTCCTGGTTGGATAGTTTGAGTACCTTTGTAATGTCCCCTTTGTTTAGCCCTGACTTCCACTTATACACCTCTATCAGGTCGCCCCTTGCTCTACGTCTCTCGAGGGAGTGCAAATTAAGATGCTTTAACCTGTCTCTATACCCAAGGTTCCTAATGCCCGGGATTAGTCTTGTCATTCTCCTCTGAATTCTTTCCAATGATTCTATATCCACACGTTAAGTTCACTCATTGTTACCTGGGAAGGATGGCATGGGTCAGTTAGTGCATTTCCACTATAGTGTTTTCGTATCTCCCTCACAGTGCAACCAAACAATTTTGGTGGTGGTGGTGAGCTACAAGCACTCCAGGAGGACACTCAAGTACTGGGTATCTTAACGATCGGTATAGTTTTGTCCCAATAGAGTCAGAAGCTATCCTGGGTTCTGGGGTTAACAATGTGCACCCAACTTTGGAATAATTTAGGTTCATTCACACAGTCGTTGATATCACCAGTGTTAAAGGATTTCCCACGCGAGGTATGGGTCCTGAATGCGTTTCCCGACTGAGTGGAGGATTGGATACCCTCTTTATATACTGGTTAGCCTTATATATGTTGTATAATATTTTAATATGGCTCTCACACTTTTTTGTATATGTATGTGTGTATCTATCAAACTTACTGTTAAGGCAAGTCTCTGTTTATCATCTTGTTAGTGAGTCGTTCTTTAAAGATATTCCTACAGTCCTATAAGCAACTTCCCTCAAAACTTTAGAAACCAAACTCTCGTAATTACAGTACCTGCTTATACAGAGTCCACCTAAACGTCCCCACACGTGTTGATACAGCCTCCACGTAGCCATCAGTTCCACACATGTTGACAAGACAGCAGGTAAGGCAGTAAAAACAGAGACACACACACACAAGGTGACGCCTGACAAACACACACAGGTCCACACCCCAAAGATCACCTCCTCCCGCTCTCTTAGATTCGAACTGTGACGTTTAGACCCTGAAAAAAAGGTTAAAAGATGAATTTACAAATTATAAAACATTAAAAAAAATAAATTATATACAATAGAGCAACTTGAAGAATAAGAAAATAACATATAATCATAATGCACCTTAAAATAGACACAATATTATACATTTAAAAAAAAATCAAAGATTATAATTATGTATAATCCTGGGAGGTATGCGACATAATCTTGCTGGGGCACACGAGATATAACCTTAAAGGCTGGTTGTGACCTTAATAACCTAGCAAGCTACCAGGTACAAACACTCCCTCCACCCAGCCAGCCCCCTAGGCCTAAAGAAAAAAATGTTAGGATCTACTCTGGGTATTCTTAGGGTAACAGTCATTAGTCCTCACCAACCTATCTACCTGCTCAACTACCTATTAATCTACCTGCTTTACTACTTACCTATCTACCTTACCATCTACAGTACAATCACCCAACACCCTGTCCCTCTCTATACCTATCTCCTAATCCCATCCTAACCTTCCACCATACTTAACCCTTCACCATACCTAACCCTCCACCCTACTTAACCCTTCACCATACCTAACCCTCCACCCTACTTAGCCCTCCACTTTACCTTATCCTCCACCCTCCCTCCTCTCTAATCATGCATACTACACTCTTCCTCTCTCACTCCTACCCATCCACCCTCCTCCTCCTCTCACACCTCTCTCTTCACTCTCTCCTACCCACTCCCCTACCATTACCAACCTCTCTCTCTCTCTCTCTCTCTCTCTCTCTCCCCCTAGCGATGATCCTGTGGGTTAAACCTTCACTTCAGGAATGTGGCTCTGGGAGACCTTTCACCCGAGTCAGTCCTTGTGTGTGTGTGTGTGTGTAACTATATGTATGTTTGTGTATGTGTGTCTGTGTAACTATATGTGTGTGTGTGTGTGTGTGTGTGTGTGTGTGTGTGTGTGTGTGTGTGTGTGTGTGTGTGTGTGTGTGTGTGTGTGCCTCTGACCCTGCAAGACTTAAAAAAAAAAAATTAACCAACTGATATATCTGTCAGAAAAGAAAACCCAGTTTAGCAACCCATCTTATTTTACCTGAAGATAAACCACCCTAATGCTAATCTAACCTAACACCAATGTAATCTAATCCAATCTGGGTATCGTTAGTGTTTAATCATCAGGTGAAATAAGTTAGGGGAGAGACCTTAATCTTGAAATAAACCCGAAAAACTCATTACTAGTTTAAAATTCATTTCTTTTATAATTTTCTAATCATCTATACTACACACCATAACACACACTACACACCATAACACACACTACACACCATAACACATACTACACACCATAACACACACTACACACCATAACACACACTACACACCATAACACACACTACACACCATAACACACACTACACACCATAACACACACTACACACCATAACACACTACACACCATAACACACACTACACACCATAACACACTACACACCATAACACACTACACACCATAACACACACTACACACCATAACACACACTACACACCATAACACACACTACACACCATATCACACTATTTCATCTATTATAATATAGTTCTAAGAGTGTGAAGAATGTCATAAATCACATATTTGGTGCAGGTGTAAAACTTTCCCAGCTGGGATGATTAGTACTGCCTTATTTACATTATGATGCGGAGTAATACAGTCGCTTCTGGCAACAGAGCTAAGACGGAGAAGCTGAAAATATAATGTTTTTATTCTCTCTCTCTCTCTCTCTCTCTCTTTCCATTTCTCTCTCTCTTCCCCCCCTCTCTCTCTCACTCCCCGCCTCTCTCTCACCGTATCTCTCTAGTGCTAACACCTTATTGGCTGTGCTTTCTAACTTGAGATACAAACGGGGGATCCCTTTTTGGTGACTTGCCAGAGCGTGACGTAAGACTGTTGGAACGTCGCCCAGAACCCGCCAAGGAGGAGGTCGAGAACGTCGCCCAGAACCCGCCAAGGAGGGAGAACGTCGCCCAGAACCCGCCAAGGAGGGAGAACGTCGCCCAGAACCCGCCAAGGAGGGAGAACGTCGCCCAGAACCCGCCAAGGAGGGAGAACGTCGCCCAGAACCCGCCAAGGAGGGAGAACGTCGCCCAGAACCCGCCAAGGAGGGAGAACGTCGCCAGAACCCGCCAAGGAGGAGAGACGTTCCCTCCTTGAGTCTTTTTGCCGCCCACCTTTGCTAATACGCCGTGACGGGAGTGGACAGAAATATTGGGAAGACTCGGTGGGTGGGGGAGTGCTCGTGACGTGAGGTGCAGAGAAAGTGTGGTGAGGGAGTAGCGCAGTCAGGGTGGTGAGTGGTGGGGGATGGTGGTGGTGAGTGGTGGTGAAGGTGGTGAGGTGAGTGAGGTGTGGTGAAGTGAGATGGTGGTGGTGGTGAGGGAGTGAAGTGGTGGTGAGGAGTGGTGGTGGTGGTGAGGTGGTGGTGGTGGTGGTGGTGAGAGGAGTGGTGGTGGTGGTGAAGGGTGGTGGTGGTGGTGAAGGGTGGTGGTGGTGGTGAGGGAGTGGTGGTGGTGGTGGTGAGGGTGGTGGTGGTGGTGAGTGGTGGTGGTGGTGAAGGAGTGGTGGTGGTGGTGAAGGAGTGGTGGTGGGGGTAACTCAGCCGCTGGACTTAAGACGGGAACTAATTAGTATCACAAGTGACAGGCGAGCGTGTGTAACTTGTAGAGAACATGGAGGGGGGGGGGGAGAAGGGGAGGGGGAGAGAGAAGAGGAGGGGAAGGGGGAGGAGACGGCGAGAAAAGTAGAAGACGAGGAAAAATAGGGAAAGAGGAGGAAGAATATGGAGGAAGAAGGAGGAGGAGGAGGAGGGAATAGAGAAAACAAATGGGAGGAAACGAGGAAGAATAGGGGAAGAAGTGAAGAAAAGGAAGAATGGAAGGAAGAAAAAGGAACAACAGGAGGAAGAGGAGAAGCATGAGGAGGAAGAATAGAAGGAAGAGGAGGAGGAGGAGGTGTTCAGGTGTGGGTCAGGTGTTCAGCTCATTAAGAAAGCATTTATTAGGACAGGTAGACGATGTTAGTGAATGTAAAGACCATGCAGGTGTGTTAGCTGACTGGTGACTGTTTACTGTTTGAGGTGACTGTTGACTGTTGGAGGTGACTGTTGACTGATGGAGGTGACTAGTGACTGTTGGGGGTGACTGTTGGAGGTGACTGGTGACTGTCGGAGGTGATTGTTGAATGTTGGAGGTGACTGTTGACTGTTGGAGGTGACTGTTGACTGTTGGGGGTGACTGTTGGAGGTGACTGTTGACTGATGGAGGTGACTAGTGACTGTTGGAGGTGACTGTTGGAGGTGACTGGTGACTGTTGGAGGTGACTGGTGACTGTTGGAGGTGACTGGTGACTGTTGGCTGTTGGGGGTGACTGGTGATTGTTGGAGGTGACTGGCGACTGTCGGAGGTGATTGTTGAATGTTGGAGATGACTGTCGACTGTTGGAGGTAACTTAACTGCTGGAAGTGACTTAACTGCTAGAGCTGACTTAACTGTTTGAGATGACTGTTGACTGTTGGGGGTGACTGTTGGAGGTGACTGTTGGAGATGACTGTTGACTGTTGGGTGTGACTTTGGAGGTGACTGTTGGAGGTGACTGTTGTAGGTGACTGTTGGAGGTGACTGGGGGGGTTGCGACAGGGTAGAGGTCAGGTGTGAGTGAGCGAGAGGGTTTGTTCTGTGCCAGTCTGCGGTGTATCTCTGGTCATCTAACACCAGGTATCCTTTTATAGATCGAGGGACAAGTTCCACCTTCATTGGAGGAAGTGGTGGTGAAGGAGGAGGAGGGGGAAGAGGAGGCTGGGGACTCTTGGAGGTGACTGGTGACTGTTGGGGATGACTGATGACAGTTGGAGACGACTGGTGACTTGGAAGTGACGAGAGAGAGAGATAGAGAGGGGGGGGGGCAGGTCAGCAGGAGTCCTGTCCTCCTGCTCACCAACACCATCACTGAAGAGTAAAGATCATTGAAGTTAAAAGAGGAGGAGGAGGAAGAAGAGGAGGAGGAGGAAGAAGAGGATAAGGAGGAGGAAGATGAGGAGGAGGAGGTATTATAGAAGATCAGTAAAGGTTAGTGTCCTCTCTCTCTCTCACCAACCCTAACATTTACCGAACACAGATTATATCAACGTGAATGTCCAACTGTTTAACATACACACACACACACACACACAAATGTTTTTATGTATGTATGTATGTATGTATGTATGTATGTATGTTTGTATATATGTAAAATGGAGGTCTCCCCTGTATATGTTCGTTTGTCTTTATAACTAATTCTTCCTCAATAGATAAACACCTTTGACAAGTGAACACGACTTGGGGCTGAGGACGCCTGATAGCTGGCCGGGGGGGAGGGTGTTAACTCATCATCCTGTAGCCAAATTTATTGAGGTTTTAAAATGAAGTCGAGCTTTGATTGGTCGAGGTGGTGGTGGTGGTGTTGGTGGTGGTAATAGTCCCTGTGGCAGTCCTGGGGAGGGGGGGGGGTCCAGTGATTGGTGGTGGAAAGTTGTTGTTGTTGTTGTTTATAATCGTCGAAATTTTACTACCGCAACACCATTACTACAACACCAACACCACTACAACGACACCACAACCATACCACTATCCTAAGTCACTAACATCACCACAACACCACTACCACAATACCACTACCACAATTCCACTACCACAACACCACCACCACCACCACACCACCACACCACCACCACCACTACCACAACACCACCACCACAACACCACTACACACACCACCACCACCACCACAACACCACTACCACAACACCACCAACACCATCACTGGTATTGGCTGTGATCTGGGTATAGGGCCTAGAGCGAGGAGGAACACTGCTGATTGTGAAGTAAAAGTTGTGCAGGACCGGGAGGCGACACGGGGCACATACCCACCCAGACCCCGCTGCCCACAAACACTTCCCCGACGACCTACGCTCTCGTATACCCAGGGGCATTAACAACCACTCACTCTTCCATGCCCATCAACTCTTCAATGCCCATGGGCATCAATATACTCTCATCTATACCCACTTATAACCACCACCACCACCACTACTACACTTGTTATACACCTAAAGCTTCAACAAACACTATACCCAAATATGCCCAGCAACACCCCCCCCCCCTTCAACGTTACACTTCGCTACACCCAGACTCTAAACACTTACTGTTACGTTATATAAACTATGGATAAACCCTAAGTGTAACACTAAGTTTTATGTTCACTCACCAACACTCCTTCCCTCCCTCCAACGCCTCATCCCTCCCACCAACACCCCATCTCTTCCTCCAACACCTCCTCTCTCCCTCCCTCCAACACTACACCCAGGCATAAACCAAGACCCTATACTTATAGTGCGCAATAACACCCTTAACCACTTACCTACGTCTGACCCACCAACACTCATGTACTACACCCAGCCAGCACCTCGGTAAACACGGGACTCACACTACACTACACTACACGGGAATCCCACTACACTACACTACACGGGACTCCCACTACACTACACGGGACTCACACTACACTACACGGGAATCCCACTACACTACACTACACGGGACTCCCACTACACTACACGGGACTCACACTACACTACACGGGACTCACACTACACTACACGGGACTCCCACTACACTACACGGGACTCACACTACACTACACTACACGTTTTCCCCCTCAACATTTGCCCCATAAGTATCCTGCCTCAGTTAGTGACGGGAAATAATTTACGTTTATGTTTTAATGAGATCCTGAATGGAGGTGTGCGAGGGTCATGGTACTGTGAGTTACGGCGTCGGCTGAAGTCTTGTTGGAGTAACACCCTTATGAGTGACGGGCTGTAAAGGGATTCAGAGCGAGGCTGAGAGAGAGAGAGAGAGGTCGGGAAAAGGCAAGAGAGAGTGTCAGGACTGTGCTACGAGAGAGAGAGAGTGTGTGTTGGGCACGGAAAGAGAGATAGAGAGAGAGGCAGCGTGTGTGTGTGCGAGGTTGTGGTTTGCCCAGTTCACTGTTGGACCGGCCAGAGCTCACTCGGTCGGCTGTTCCTCGTGCCCTCCCTATTGACCAGCAATACCCAACTCTCAGCCCTCAGCCAAGCGTCGCCCGACACACGTACAGTTAACATAGGACGCTAAACGCTGAACTGAAGTGATCAACCAACTCTGTTTTTAGGAACGATTAACATACAGACACTTGACAGTCAACTCTGTATTTAATTTACTACATAAAGGCAAAACAAGCAGACAATAATCTCTAGTGTGGACTTGGTGCCATAAGTCATGCCAGCCAGACAGGCCAGCAGCGCGTGACCTGACCTGACCTCAACGTAGACACAAGGACTTAATATGTGATTGTGACCACTTCACTTCCAGCCGTAGCTACAGCAGGAGACGAACACAGGGGCCTCCAAGCGTCCCCCCCCCACCCCCCCTCCCAAAAAGACACCACCGCTGCAGCAGAAGTTATGGTCCCCCCAGCGTCACCTCCGTCAGTATGAAGGTGTCTCCCCGTTGCTTGTGTCAGGTGAGTGTTGTGACCCTAGTGTCAGTGTGTGTGTGTTTCAATTCTTCTCCCCGTCTTCCCTCTTCCCCTCCTCTTCCGTCTCCTCCTCCTCTTCCCCCTCCTCCTCCTCTTCCGTCTCCTCCTCCTCTTCCCCCTCCTCCTCCTCTTCCCTCTCCCCCTCCTCTTTAACCACAACACACTAAGACCCCAAATATATACAATACAATATTTAACCAATGTTTATTTACACAAAGACAGTTTAAAACGTCTCCCGCCTCACTTAACACACACACACACACACACACACACACACACACACACACACACACACACACACACACACACACACACACAATTATTAACAATATTCGCTAATTTCCGCACGAAGAGGAAAAGCAAATTAACAATACATATTTTTTGGGGTTCCGTTCACATTCACCATTTATAATCGGAAAAAAAATTATTCAAGTATTTTTTAGTAAGAATGAGAAGAGTGCAGTATTAATCAGCTGACAGTATATATAAGGTAAGGTAAGGTATATTGTAGAGATGTTCTTGTGAGTAAACTGACTGCAGGGGTAATGGCGTAGTGGGTTGTTCAACTGCCTCTGTTCCCCTCGGGGTACTGGGTTCGAATCTACCACCACAACCATTACCACCACCACCACTATCACCACACTCCACTCCATTACACCATCACACTCCACTACCTCCATACTCCATTCCACACCACCACCACCACACTCCATACCACACCACCACCACCACACTCCATATCACCAACCACACTTCATTCAACACCACCACCACCTCCATACCACTCCACCACCACCTCCATGCCACACCACCACCACCACACTCCATACCACTCCCACCACCACCACACTCCATACCATCACCACCACTCCACCACCACACCACCACCTCCATACCACTCCACCACCACCACACTCCCATACCCTCCCACCACCACCACACTCCATGCCACTCCACCACCACCCCACCTCCTCCCACACCACACACCACCCACACACCACCACCACCTCCATACCACCCACCACCACACACACTCCACACACCACCACCACCACCTCCCATACCCTCCACCAACTTTCCTATTAAGATCTTTTTTCTTTAATGCGTGCAGGCAGAAGTGCAGATAAACTCCACAATTTAAAACGAGTTCCCAAGTTCGCGGCATGTGAGGGGCGGAGGGGCGGGGGAGTCAGGTTGTGGTAAAAGGGGAGTCAGTGTGGTAGTAAACTGTGGTGGTGGTGCTGCTGTGTATGGTGGCTGTGGTATGGTGGCGAAGTGTGTGGTGGCTGTGTATGGGTGGTGTGGTGGCTGTGTATGGTGCGTGGTGTGGTGGCTGTGGTATGGTGGCGAGTGGTGTGGTGGCTGTGGTATGGTGGCGAGTGGTGTGGTGGCTGTGGTAGCTGTCAGAACTCACAACTTTCAAAGATAAAAAAAAAGAATAAGAGTTTAGATAATATTTTGTGGAAGGTTGAAGTCCCAAACACGACGAGAATGTTAAACGATAATAACACATAACTAATTACCAGAGAAGAAGAAGGAAGACGAAGAAGAATGAGGAGAAGAAGAATAAAGAAGAAAAATAAATTATCCACAAAAGACGACCTCATTAAAAGCACAGCAACTAACAACTCTTCACACCGTCAAAATACAATAAAAAAAAGGAGGTAAAAAAAACATAAATAACTCGCTGGCAACTGAAGGTCACACTTGGTAATATAAAAGAGATGATGTTGCGACCTTTCTCCATCACTCACACGCCAAACACGATGCAACACTGACGGCTCAAGGTGTGTGTGTGTGTGTGTGTGTGTGTGTGTGTGTGTGTGTTCATCATTTCACTTTTTCTTTTTAATACTCTGTCTTTCTTATTCTTTAATCTTATTTTTGTTCATTTCAATACATTCTATTTCGATAATGTATTTCCTAGAGGTAAACATACATACATACATACACAAACTACTGTCTTTAACACACACACAAACACAATTATGTACACCTCACTCTACACACACACACACACACACACACATATAAACAGTGAAGGTATTCAGTAGTGTAAACACGTGCCGAGGCTGCCACTGTTAGTTGATGACCCCACCCAAGGTCACCACCACCTCCCTCCTGCTGGCCATGAGGGAAGGAAGGAAGAAGATATAGACGGAGGGCAGGAAGGGAAGGAGAGAAACAGGAAGGGAATGAAGGAAAAACATGGAAGGCGGGAAGGATGGACAGAGAAAACAGGGCGGGAAGGAAGAAATGAAAGAAAAGAGAGAGAAAGAGAGAGAGAGGTAACAGCCCCCCTTGTCAACACCTGAGTTTAAACCCTGTTATTACCTGTTAAATACCGCCTGTACGGTCTTACTTTCTCCCACCCGATCCTCTTGAGTGACGTACCGACCGTCCTCTCACGGCCCCTCGGTACCCTCTAGTACCTTCCTGCTATCCCATACGACCGTCTAGCTCACAGACACACACACACACACACACTCATCAGTATGCACAGTACAGGAGTCACACTAACACATTCGTAATACAACACTTCCATTCTCAACACAAGTCATTTACTACTGTTGTGAATATCTGTCCAGGGAGGAGGGGAGGGGAGGGAAGGGGAGAAGAGGGGGAAAGGGAGGAGGAAGGGAGGGGTTGGGGGAGAGGAAGGGAGAGATGGGAATGAGGAGAGAAAGGGAGAGGGAGAAGGGGAGGGGACTGGGGAAACCAACATATTAAATAACCCACATAATCACGTGATGTACCGGTCCAAAATTCCCCGCTATACTGGAACGTTTATCCACTGTACCGGTTCACTACTGCTCCTCCCTCACCCCCCCCCCCTCTCTCTAGTGTACCCCATGATCACGCACCGCATAGTACCGTCACAGCGTCTACACCTTTTACCATGCACTTTCTCCTCTCATTAATCTGCTGCTTGGTGGTGACCTTTGGGGACCACCTCGTAAATAACGCTTCTGGTGGACCCCCTACTGTGACTTCTACTGCTGCTGCTTCTCCTGCTGGTGGTGATGATGTTATATGTTCCTCCTCCTGCACCACCCCTCCTCCTTCAACTTCCTGATATCTCCCTCCTCCTTCAACTTCCTGATATCTTCCTCCTCCTTCAACTTCCTGATATCTTCCTCCTCCTTCTTTCTACCTCCTGATATCTTCCTCCTCCTTCTACCTCCTGATATCTTCCTCCTCCTTCTTCCTCCTGATATCTTCCTCCTCCTTCTTTAAGTAGCGGGAAGTATGAGGAATTTCAACCATGGTGAAGCCGAGCCACACCAACGAGTGCCTTATCACCGCCACCACACACAGAGACTCTCACAAATGCACTTGGGGATGAAAGCAACTTGACAGGACATATTCTCACGAGTCTAAAGGAATGCAGATCCATAAAAGATCCTAACTTAACCTAACAAACACACTATCCAATACCTAGAGTGCTTGAAAAACAGTACAAACAGATACAATTAAAACACACACACACACACACACACACACACACACACACACACACGACTCTGTATCTCTTTGTATCTTATGATTTAATCCTCTCATTCTCTGTCCTGACCTGACCTGACCTGACCTCTTAATAGTTCTGTCTTATATATACCGAGGAGACCTTTAATATATAATTTAGATGGTGTATATATCATAGAGGGGGGTGGGGTATTGGGGGAGAATTTTAGGGAGGGTGGGGTGTGTTGGGAGGATGGGGGTGTTAGGGGAGGTGGGGTTTTGGTAGAGGAGAGAGGAGTAGGAGGGGTGTCTGTCATTATAACTTATTGTCAGTGTGATTATATCTGTCTGTTTGTCTCTTGTAAATTCTTGAGAGACGGCGACTCCAGTGCTATATCTCTCTCTATCTCTGTCTTTCTCTCGCTTAATATGAGTGTCTTTCGTCTGAACTTTTCTCTCTCTCTCTCTTTATCTCGTCTTTGTTTTTCCCTTCTCCTTCCTCTTCTGTCCTTCTATCTCTCTCTTCAAGTTCTCTCGGTTTCTCTTCGTCTCGTATCGTCTCTCTCTCTCTCTACCCCTCACTCCCTCTCTCTACCCCTCACTCCCTCTCTCTACCCCTCACTCCCTCTCTCTACCCCTCACTCCCTCTCTCTACCCCTCACTCCCTCTCTCTACCCCTCACTCTCTCTCTACCTCTCTCTACTCCCTCTCTCTACCCCTCACTCCCTCTCTCTACCCCTCACTCCCTCTCTCTACCCCTCACTCCCTCTCTCTACACCCCTCACTCCCTCTCTCTACCCCTCACTCCGTCTCTCTACACCCATCACTCCCTCACGCCTTTTTTCCAACCACTCGTCAATCTCTTCATTTCACTCACTAAATGGTATTCCAAAATGAGCGAAAAATTACGAAATACAACAGCATCTTCCTTAAATATACAGGAAAACCTCTCTTTAACGGACTGTAGAGGAAAATCCGTTATGAGGGTCCATTAGTTGTGTGAATCCTCCCTCTAACGAACTACATAGATAAAGCCCATTATATTGAGGTGATCGTTAGATAATGAAAACCCTCCAACTAACGGATTTTAGGAAAAGAAAAGTCCGTTATATGGAGGTAAATATTCATCGTCATCGTCCACTGGCTAAGCTATGCAACACCACACCTGTCCGGGAAGTTAATTACAGGTGTTAATGAAATAGCGAGTCATATATGGCCAGGTAAGGTGTCTGGGGGTCTTGCGTGCCTACAACCTCACACCTTCACCCCTACAGGTAAAAAAAATAACCGGTCCAGAGTTAATGTAATATATTGTGGAATGTACCGAGCGTGGTTCATGGGCAGTGTGGAATGTCCCAGAGCGGTCCAGTGTGGGTTATTGCTCACTAAATGTCCCAGAGCGGTCCAGTGGAGGATGTCCCAAATTATCCCAACTGAGAACGTCCCAAGTTAATACATTGTGTTAATATTTGACAAGGTAACCAGGGTGGTGATAATGGGTGGCGGAGTGGTGATAATGGGTG